GACGTTGAACTCCGCCCCAAACACACACCATTGGTCAGCCAGACTTTTAAACTCCGCCCCAAACACACACCATTGGTCAGCCAGACGTTGAACTCCCCCCCCAAACACACACCATTGGTCAGCCAAACCGTTAAACTCCGCCCCAAACACACACCATTGGTCAGCCAGACTTTGAACTCCGCCCCAAACAAACACCATTGGTCAGCCAGACGTTGAACTCCGCCCCAAACACACACCATTGGTCAGCCAGACTTTTAAACTCCGCCCCAAACACACACCATTGGTCAGCCAGACGTTGAACTCCGCCCCAAACACACACCATTGGTCAGCCAGACTTTTAAACTCCGCCCCAAACACACACCATTGGTCAGCCAGACGTTGAACTCCCCCCCCAAACACACACCATTGGCCAGCCAGACGTTGAACTCCGCCCCAAACACACACCATTGGCCAGCCAGACGTTGAACTCCGCCCCAAACACACACCATTGGTCAGCCAAACCGTTAAACTCCGCCCCAAACACACACCATTGGTCAGCCAGACGTTGAACTCCGCCCCAAACACACACCATTGGTCAGCCAGACCGTTAAACTCCGCCCCAAACACACACCATTGGTCAGCCAGACGTTGAACTCCGCCCCAAACACACACCATTGGTCAGCCAGACCGTTAAACTCCGCCCCAAACACACACCATTGGTCAGCCAGACCGTTAAACTCCGCCCCAAACACACACCATTGGTCAGCCAGACCGTTAAACTCCGCCCCAAACACACACCATTGGTTGAACCAGAGTTGATTTGAGATCAAATTATTCTGATACTTTCTCTGTATGATGATGATGATGATGATGATTTGTCTGAATTTGTGGAGTAAAAGTTATAGTTTTTATTTTGTAGTTAAAAGATCAAATTAGACCCTTGGGGTAAGATGGGCCACCAGGATTGTCTTAGAAGGCCCCAAGTGGCATGTTGTTGTTTCTCATTTGATTTTGTACTACAACTAAATTAGCATTTCCTACAATAACACATCGGCTGATGCATCATCATCATCATCATCATCATCATCATCATGACAAACTCATCTAAATATGTTAACAGTTTAAAAGTTAATCCAATTGTTCTTAACGGGGGCATCTTCCCCATGTTAACCTAATTATGACTATTAAAGTCCTATTTTCGACTTTTTATGCAATAATTTTGATTTAAGCGTGATTGTACGGAAGCCCTGAACCGCAACGTAAAAAAAAAAAAAAAAAATCTGTAAAAAAAAAAAAATCTGTAACCCCCCCCCCCCCCCCAAAAAAACTAGAATTTCGAGATTAAAGTCGAAATATTTCAAGATTAAAGTCGAAACCGCAATGTAAAAAACAAAAAATCTGTAAAAAAACAAAAAACAACAACAATAGCATTTCGAGATTAAAGTCGAAATATTTCGAGAGTATGAATACAGTCTTCCGTAGAAGTTGCGCGTGTGCTTGCCATTGTTTCACATTGCCGCACACACAGGCATTCATAATGGTGCATAGCGAGTGTTTCACACTGTGTGTGTGTGTGTGTTTTGTTTCAACAAAAGGAAATTCAACAGGTGCCAATCTACCAGCGCTACCATTATAGGACGTTATCAAATATACTGCGCCGGAATAGACTTTAGCCTAAAGGAAAACCACCCCGGAAAACCCTTTTCAGACTGGATGGAGATATCCAGCTTTATGAATGAATGAATGAGGCATTTATATAGCGCTTTCATATGTCCACTAGGCCTACACTCAAAGCGCTTTACAATCATATCAGAGAATCTCTCCTCAACCACCATTAGTGGTTATTAAATCTGAGGAAATCACGGGATCCGGCCAAATGATTGGATACAGAATGATGCACTTAAAATGTATCCAGAAGGTATTTAGGGTGAAGAGGGAGACAGAACGGTTCCTGTAGTGTTCTCGACCCAGATAGTGTTGCCTAGACGAGCACGAAAACACCTCAGAAACACTGGCACATCAAGTGTGGACCATTGTGATACTCCGCGTTTCACGACGCGTCATCAATCCGGAAGTCGGCCATTTTGGAGGCACAGAACGTAAATAATGCCACTGAACTGAATGGACTCGCAAATTTGGGTGATTATTGCTGCTAAAAAATGGTCGAGTTTTGGTCTGTACCAATCAGTCACATCGGGAAAAAACATGTTGAGTGCTATAGACTGTCAAAAGTTAAAGAGAAGAGTGCAAAAACTGATGAAAGAAGGCGTTTGTGGTTGAGAGAGGTACAGCATCAGCTACTGGCGCGCTGGACGACTGGAGGCTGGTATGTAGCCTACTGCTTTTTCCCCACGCTCGTCTGCGCCGGTTTCAGAAATAATAACGTTACTTTTCTGCTCGTCCGGCAATTTGCAACAACACAGCATTGTTTCGGCAGTGACTTTCAGCATGTTTCCTATAAATGACGTTTGCATTTTAAGACATACCACGCGAAATCCGATCGTTCAGACTGAGGCTGATGTCCTGATATGTGATTTGAATAGGATTTCAAACCACATATGGATGTAACTTGAAACGGATTTCATGTGCTTTTTTGGACTGACAATCTGAACGTATCCTATGTCGGGATAATAAATAGATGGAAGAATTGCAGTAATGTTACGTGCTAGAGAAGCTAACTCGTTCGGATCTTTACCACATATTAACTTTAGTTTGTCAAAATGTTGCGCTCTCTCCTGCTTCCCAAGTCCTTCTCTATATGATTTCGCACCTACCACGTGTTTTTTCCGTGGTTTATTAGTGTAACAATGTGTTCAGTAGTACATAAACAGTGCAATCCATGCTGTTGTTTACATCCGAGTGCCTCCATAATGGCCGCGCATCCGGGTTACCGCCCAGAACGTGACGTTGGTGAAGCACCTGTGTAGAATTTTGTTGAAAGCCCAGATAACACACACACACACACACACACGCGCTCTGAGCCAGTGGACGCGCACTGTTATGAATGCACACACTTCTATGGAAGACTGTATTATCGTAATGTTTCGACTTTATTCTCGAAATGTTTCGAATTTAATCTCGAAATGCTAGTTTTTTTTTTACGTTGCGGTTTCGACTTTAATCTCGAAATGTTTCGACTTAAATCTCGAAATGCTATTTTTTTGTTTGTTTTTTTTACTGATTTTTTTTTTTTTTTACGTTGCGGTTCAGGGTTTCCGTATGATTGACATAACGTGAGGTCGTATTTATTTTTAACGTGCGAAAGCAGTGAAGCCCCGCCCTCTCTGATCTGATTGGCTCTCTCCTCCGTCCTGACAGTGACGAGCTGTCCGTTGATCAGTCAGAGTCCGTTATCTTACAAGTTTGAGGCACATTAATATACAGTTATTACAGTTATTTCACGACTTTTATTATACATCACGGATACAAACAGCGAGTCCAGACCTCAACTGTTGTTGCGGACATCGAGTTCATGGACACTGAATGGCTTTTCTGAGGTAATATGTGACTTTTTTGTGACATTATTGTTCTCCCGCTGTTTGATTGACGGTTGAAACACTGATTTATGGATTATGAGACATGATTGATTTCAGGAAGTTGTTCAGTATCTTCATCATTCCTTCTGATGTTCACTGATGTTTATTTGCTGCTGTAACTAGTAAAGAGGAAGAGATGATCGGTTCTTCTGTGTCACACACACACACACACACACACACACACACACACACACACACACACACACACACACACATTTACTGACTGCATTTACTGATGAAACTGACAGGATTTGAAAGCTGAGACTTTCTTTCATATCAAAAGTATCAAAGCACAAATATTACTGTGATTATTGTATGGCAGGAGCTACGAATAATGTTTAGTTTTGTTCACACATCAACTGAAAACAGCGCAGACTAAAATATCGATTTTTAGGATTCAAGAATCTACATAGAGGTCATTAAAGTGAACGTCAGTTAATGTATTAATTATTATTGCCATCCCAGCATTAGTGACGATGATGATGATGTAGTTTTAGTATGGCAGTGATTTTCATTTCTCAGAAAGTGGGTCAGACAGAGAGACAGACAGTCTCTCTCACACACACACACGCACACACACACACACACGCACACGCACACACACACACACACACACACTCACACACACACTCACACACACACACACACACACACACACACACAGAGAGAGAGAGAGAGAGAGAGACAGCTGTGTGGATGTTGACATCTCTGGAAATGGTTTTGTGTGGAATGAGCTCTGGGTGGAGAGAGACGGATTCCCTGTGTGTATGTGTGTGTGTGTGTGTGTGTGTGTGTGAGAGTGGCCTGGTAAACCCTACGTTATGGGGACAAAATGTCCCCACAAGGATGGCAATATCCGAAATCCTTGTTCGTGTGGGGACATTTTTTGGTCCCCATGAGGAAATCAGCTTATAAATCATACTAAGTGATGTTGTTTGAAAATGTAAAATGCAGAATGTTTCCTGTGATGGGCAGGTTTAGGGATAGGGTTAGTGTAAGGGAATAGAATATACAGTCTGTACAGTATAAAAATCATTATGTCTATGGAAAGTCCCCATAAAACATGAAAACACAACATGTGTGAGTGTCTGTGTGTGTGTGTGTGTGAGTGTGTGTGTGTGTGTTCTGTAACTCAGAGCAGCTGTGATGCAGGAAGAGGAAATGCCTGAGAGTCTCATTTCACCAGTGCTGGATCTCATCACAGAAACACACTGAACACACCCATCACACACACACACACACACACACACACACACACACACACACACACACACACACACACACACACACACACACACACACACACACACACGCATTACATAGAGAGAAGACATGGTGTAGTATTGAGTGTTCATGTTCAATGATACATGTCTCAGTGTGAAAGCTTACAAAATTCATCAATTATGAAATGAGGTTGAATCAGCGAGTGAACGTAGTTTTCTCTCTCTCTGTGTGTGTGTGTGTGTGTGTGTGTGTGTGTCTCAGGCTCTGCAGTCTGACGCTGAAGAAGCTGATCGTGCTGAAGGAGCTGGACAAGGATTTGAACTCGGTGCTCATCGCTGTGAAGATCCAGGTGAGAGTCGAACATCACGGGCAGCGCTGGAGCGACTCGAGTGCAAAGACGCTTCGGCCCTCTGTTAGAATCATTTATATGATGTCAGTTTAATGTCGTAATATCTTTATATTTAGGAAAAAAATGAAATAATTTGAGGACAACAAATGTAATATGGTGAATGTTTAACATGATATTTATGTTTATTAATTTAGCACATGCTTCTATCCAGGAAAACAACAAGCAATTCATCTTAAAGAGGCAATAAACATGAGAAGTGCCAGTGCAAAGTTTCAGACGTCATTCAGAATTACATGCGAAGAGTGTGTGTGTGTGTGTGTAGGGCTCCAAACGAGTGCTGCGATCTAACGAGTACGCGGTTCCTCCCAGCGGCCTGATGGAGACGCAGCTGGAGCTCAGCTTCTCTCTGCAGGTACAAACACACAATCGTTCTGCACAAGTGCTGTCGAAATGTAAACTCGTGTACAAAAAGAAAGAAAAGAAAAACATTTAAACCTGTAAATCTAGCAGCTCTTTTCTGTTGAATTAGCGAGGCCATGTTGCTCCTTAATTCTGTTCTTTTACCAAATACTGACATCCACCATAAGACTGGAAACCACATGACGCATCACAGCTCATCACAGGCTAAGGGAAATACTGATATACACAAGTACACAATAATGCATTTATATTGCTAAAATAATGCAATTTACAACATAAGATATAACGTAAAAACATAATGTACATAACGGATAACAAAAGCCTATCAAGAAAGATAATAAAATGAAAAGCCATCAAATGTGAAGTGTTACACAGGGAATTCTGGGAATATCCATTTAGGGCTTTTTACTGTAAATTAAAAGATGATTTGTTCTTTTTTACTTTCAAAAATGGCACATTACACAAAATGTAAGGTAGATTAATTAAAGAGTTTTTCTTTGTATACAGTACGTGAACTTACTGGTAACCAATTACCTGTCACGGTTTTACAGTGTTTTACTGTTAAAACTACAGTCATGTTTACAGTGTGACGTGGCGAGCGCTACAGACGCCCGGCGCTGTGAACCGATTCTGACTCCTTGACTTGTTTAGAACATTAAAGAGACAGTTTCACCAATAAATGATCAGTCTGTCATCACCTGTGGGACTGTGTTCTGTGGAGATAATTTGAGAAATGCCCATGCACCGGAAGTCAGTGGTGTCCTGTGTTTGATCCCCGACGGTTTTTCATCTTATATTCGTTTACAGAAGAAATAAAGTCATGTTTGAACGACACGAGGGCAAGTAAATGATGACGGAATGATCATTTCTGGGTGAACCATCCCTTTAAACATCATTTAGTTGTATGTCTGCTGTTCCCATGTTTCCTCTGGTGTGTTTCTGTCGTGTCAGTATTCCCACTTCCTGAAGAGAGACGCCAACCGCCTGCAGATCATGCTTCAGAGAAGGAAACGCTACAAAAACAGAACCATTCTGGGCTTCAAGACTCTCGCTGTCGGAGTCATCGACATGGCGGAGGTATAACGGCCCGCTATAGCTATAACCATAATGATGACTATATTAGTGTCCACACCAGCTGTTGATCAGTCATCTGAGACTGAGATGTTGAGTGTTCGGGTGTGTGATCAGGTGTGAGTTTGAGACTGAGATGTTGAGTGTTCAGGTGTGGGATCAGGTGTGAGAGTGAGACTGAGATGTTGAGTGTTCGGGTGTGTGATCAGGTGTGAGAGTGAGACTGAGATGTTGAGTGTTCGGGTGTGTGATCAGGTGTGAGAGTGAGACTGAGATGTTGAGTGTTCGGGTGTGTGATCAGGTGTGAGAGTGAGACTGAGATGTTGACTGTTCGGGTGTGTGATCAGGTGTGAGAGTGAGACTGAGATGTTGAGTGTTCGGGTGTGTGATCAGGTGTGAGTTTGAGGCTGAGATGTTGAGTGTTCGGGTGTGTGATCAGGTGTGAGTTTGAGACTGAGATGTTGAGTGTTCGGGTGTGTGATCAGGTGTGAGTTTGAGACTGAGATGTTGAGTGTTCAGGTGTGTGATCAGGTGTGAGTTTGAGACTGAGATGTTGAGTGTTCAGGTGTGTGATCAGGTGTGAGTTTGAGGCTGAGATGTTGAGTGTTCAGGTGTGTGATCAGGTGTGAGTTTGAGGCTGAGATGTTGAGTGTTCAGGTGTGTGATCAGGTGTGAGTTTGAGGCTGAGATGTTGAGTGTTCAGGTGTGTGATCAGGTGTGAGTTTGAGGCTGAGATGTTGAGTGTTCGGGTGTGTGATCAGGTGTGAGTTTGAGACTGAGATGTTGAGTGTTCAGGTGTGTGATCAGGTGTGAGTTTGAGACTGAGATGTTGAGTGTTCAGGTGTGTGATCAGGTGTGAGTTTGAGACTGAGATGTTGAGTGTTCGGGTGTGTGATCAGGTGTGAGTTTGAGACTGAGATGTTGAGTGTTCAGGTGTGTGATCAGGTGTGAGTTTGAGGCTGAGATGTTGAGTGTTCAGGTGTGTGATCAGGTGTGAGTTTGAGGCTGAGATGTTGAGTGTTCGGGTGTGTGATCAGGTGTGAGTTTGAGACTGAGATGTTGAGTGTTCGGGTGTGTGATCAGGTGTGAGTTTGAGACTGAGATGTTGAGTGTTCAGGTGTGTGATCAGGTGTGAGTTTGAGGCTGAGATGTTGAGTGTTCAGGTGTGTGATCAGGTGTGAGTTTGAGGCTGAGATGTTGAGTGTTCGGGTGTGTGATCAGGTGTGAGTTTGAGGCTGAGATGTTGAGTGTTCGGGTGTGTGATCAGGTGTGAGTTTGAGTCTGAGATGTTGAGTGTTCGGGTGTGTGATCAGGTGTGAGTTTGAGGCTGAGATGTTGAGTGTTCGGGTGTGTGATCAGGTGTGAGTTTGAGGCTGAGATGTTGAGTGTTCAGGTGTGTGATCAGGTGTGAGTTTGAGGCTGAGATGTTGAGTGTTCGGGTGTGTGATCAGGTGTGAGTTTGAGACTGAGATGTTGAGTGTTCGGGTGTGTGATCAGGTGTGAGTTTGAGGCTGAGATGTTGAGTGTTCAGGTGTGTGATCAGGTGTGAGTTTGAGGCTGAGATGTTGAGTGTTCGGGTGTGTGATCAGGTGTGAGTTTGAGGCTGAGATGTTGAGTGTTCAGGTGTGTGATCAGGTGAGTTTGAGGTTTAGATGTTGAGTGTTCGGGTGTGTGATCAGGTGTGAGTTTGAGGTTTAGATGTTGAGTGTTCAGGTGTGTGATCAGGTGTGAGTTTGAGGCTGAGATGTTGAGTGTTCGGGTGTGTGATCAGGTGTGAGTTTGAGGCTGAGATGTTGAGTGTTCAGGTGTGTGATCAGGTGTGAGTTTGAGGCTGAGATGTTGAGTGTTCGGGTGTGTGATCAGGTGTGAGTTTGAGGCTGAGATGTTGAGTGTTCGGGTGTGTGATCAGGTGTGAGTTTGAGGCTGAGATGTTGAGTGTTCGTGTGTGTGATCAGGTGTGAGTTTGAGACTGAGATGTTGAGTGTTCAGGTGTGTGATCAGGTGTGAGAGTGAGGCTGAGATGTTGAGTGTTCGGGTGTGTGATCAGGTGTGAGTTTGAGACTGAGATGTTGAGTGTTCAGGTGTGTGATCAGGTGAGTTTGAGGTTTAGATGTTGAGTGTTCAGGTGTGTGATCAGGTGTGAGAGTGAGGCTGAGATGTTGAGTGTTCGGGTGTGTGATCAGGTGTGAGTTTGAGACTGAGATGTTGAGTGTTCGGGTGTGTGATCAGGTGTGAGTTTGAGACTGAGATGTTGAGTGTTCGGGTGTGTGATCAGGTGTGAGAGTGAGACTGAGATGTTGAGTGTTCAGGTGTGTGATCAGGTGTGAGTTTGAGGCTGAGATGTTGAGTGTTCGGGTGTGTGATCAGGTGTGAGTTTGAGACTGAGATGTTGAGTGTTCGGGTGTGTGATCAGGTGTGAGAGTGAGACTGAGATGTTGAGTGTTCGGGTGTGTGATCAGGTGTGAGTTTGAGACTGAGATGTTGAGTGTTCAGGTGTGTGATCAGGTGTGAGTTTGAGACTGAGATGTTGAGTGTTCGGGTGTGTGATCAGGTGTGAGTTTGAGACTGAGATGTTGAGTGTTCAGGTGTGTGATCAGGTGTGAGTTTGAGGCTGAGATGTTGAGTGTTCGGGTGTGTGATCAGGTGTGAGTTTGAGGCTGAGATGTTGAGTGTTCGGGTGTGTGATCAGGTGTGAGTTTGAGGCTGAGATGTTGAGTGTTCGGGTGTGTGATCAGGTGTGAGTTTGAGACTGAGATGTTGAGTGTTCAGGTGTGTGATCAGGTGTGAGAGTGAGGCTGAGATGTTGAGTGTTCGGGTGTGTGATCAGGTGTGAGTTTGAGGCTGAGATGTTGAGTGTTCGGGTGTGTGATCAGGTGTGAGTTTGAGGCTGAGATGTTGAGTGTTCGGGTGTGTGATCAGGTGTGAGTTTGAGGCTGAGATGTTGAGTGTTCAGGTGTGTGATCAGGTGTGAGTTTGAGACTGAGATGTTGAGTGTTCAGGTGTGTGATCAGGTGTGAGTTTGAGGCTGAGATGTTGAGTGTTCGGGTGTGTGATCAGGTGTGAGTTTGAGACTGAGATGTTGAGTGTTCGGGTGTGTGATCAGGTGTGAGTTTGAGGCTGAGATGTTGAGTGTTCAGGTGTGTGATCAGGTGTGAGTTTGAGACTGAGATGTTGAGTGTTCAGGTGTGTGATCAGGTGTGAGTTTGAGGCTGAGATGTTGAGTGTTCAGGTGTGTGATCAGGTGTGAGTTTGAGGCTGAGATGTTGAGTGTTCAGGTGTGTGATCAGGTGTGAGTTTGAGGCTGAGATGTTGAGTGTTCGGGTGTGTGATCAGGTGTGAGTTTGAGGCTGAGATGTTGAGTGTTCAGGTGTGTGATCAGGTGTGAGTTTGAGACTGAGATGTTGAGTGTTCGGGTGTGTGATCAGGTGTGAGAGTGAGGCTGAGATGTTGAGTGTTCGGGTGTGTGATCAGGTGTGAGTTTGAGGCTGAGATGTTGAGTGTTCAGGTGTGTGATCAGGTGTGAGTTTGAGGCTGAGATGTTGAGTGTTCAGGTGTGTGATCAGGTGTGAGTTTGAGGCTGAGATGTTGAGTGTTCAGGTGTGTGATCAGGTGTGAGTTTGAGGCTGAGATGTTGAGTGTTCGGGTGTGTGATCAGGTGTGAGAGTGAGACTGAGATGTTGAGTGTTCAGGTGTGTGATCAGGTGTGAGTTTGAGGCTGAGATGTTGAGTGTTCAGGTGTGTGATCAGGTGTGAGTTTGAGACTGAGATGTTGAGTGTTCAGGTGTGTGATCAGGTGAGTTTGAGGTTTAGATGTTGAGTGTTCAGGTGTGTGATCAGGTGTGAGAGTGAGGCTGAGATGTTGAGTGTTCGGGTGTGTGATCAGGTGTGAGTTTGAGACTGAGATGTTGAGTGTTCGGGTGTGTGATCAGGTGTGAGTTTGAGACTGAGATGTTGAGTGTTCGGGTGTGTGATCAGGTGTGAGAGTGAGACTGAGATGTTGAGTGTTCAGGTGTGTGATCAGGTGTGAGTTTGAGGCTGAGATGTTGAGTGTTCGGGTGTGTGATCAGGTGTGAGTTTGAGACTGAGATGTTGAGTGTTCGGGTGTGTGATCAGGTGTGAGTTTGAGACTGAGATGTTGAGTGTTCAGGTGTGTGATCAGGTGAGTTTGAGGTTTAGATGTTGAGTGTTCAGGTGTGTGATCAGGTGTGAGAGTGAGGCTGAGATGTTGAGTGTTCGGGTGTGTGATCAGGTGTGAGTTTGAGACTGAGATGTTGAGTGTTCGGGTGTGTGATCAGGTGTGAGTTTGAGACTGAGATGTTGAGTGTTCGGGTGTGTGATCAGGTGTGAGAGTGAGACTGAGATGTTGAGTGTTCAGGTGTGTGATCAGGTGTGAGTTTGAGGCTGAGATGTTGAGTGTTCGGGTGTGTGATCAGGTGTGAGTTTGAGACTGAGATGTTGAGTGTTCGGGTGTGTGATCAGGTGTGAGAGTGAGACTGAGATGTTGAGTGTTCGGGTGTGTGATCAGGTGTGAGTTTGAGACTGAGATGTTGAGTGTTCAGGTGTGTGATCAGGTGTGAGTTTGAGACTGAGATGTTGAGTGTTCGGGTGTGTGATCAGGTGTGAGTTTGAGACTGAGATGTTGAGTGTTCAGGTGTGTGATCAGGTGTGAGTTTGAGGCTGAGATGTTGAGTGTTCGGGTGTGTGATCAGGTGTGAGTTTGAGGCTGAGATGTTGAGTGTTCGGGTGTGTGATCAGGTGTGAGTTTGAGGCTGAGATGTTGAGTGTTCGGGTGTGTGATCAGGTGTGAGTTTGAGACTGAGATGTTGAGTGTTCAGGTGTGTGATCAGGTGTGAGAGTGAGGCTGAGATGTTGAGTGTTCGGGTGTGTGATCAGGTGTGAGTTTGAGGCTGAGATGTTGAGTGTTCGGGTGTGTGATCAGGTGTGAGTTTGAGGCTGAGATGTTGAGTGTTCGGGTGTGTGATCAGGTGTGAGTTTGAGGCTGAGATGTTGAGTGTTCAGGTGTGTGATCAGGTGTGAGTTTGAGACTGAGATGTTGAGTGTTCAGGTGTGTGATCAGGTGTGAGTTTGAGGCTGAGATGTTGAGTGTTCGGGTGTGTGATCAGGTGTGAGTTTGAGACTGAGATGTTGAGTGTTCGGGTGTGTGATCAGGTGTGAGTTTGAGGCTGAGATGTTGAGTGTTCAGGTGTGTGATCAGGTGTGAGTTTGAGACTGAGATGTTGAGTGTTCAGGTGTGTGATCAGGTGTGAGTTTGAGGCTGAGATGTTGAGTGTTCAGGTGTGTGATCAGGTGTGAGTTTGAGGCTGAGATGTTGAGTGTTCGGGTGTGTGATCAGGTGTGAGTTTGAGGCTGAGATGTTGAGTGTTCAGGTGTGTGATCAGGTGTGAGTTTGAGACTGAGATGTTGAGTGTTCGGGTGTGTGATCAGGTGTGAGAGTGAGGCTGAGATGTTGAGTGTTCGGGTGTGTGATCAGGTGTGAGTTTGAGGCTGAGATGTTGAGTGTTCAGGTGTGTGATCAGGTGTGAGTTTGAGGCTGAGATGTTGAGTGTTCAGGTGTGTGATCAGGTGTGAGTTTGAGGCTGAGATGTTGAGTGTTCAGGTGTGTGATCAGGTGTGAGTTTGAGGCTGAGATGTTGAGTGTTCGGGTGTGTGATCAGGTGTGAGAGTGAGACTGAGATGTTGAGTGTTCAGGTGTGTGATCAGGTGTGAGTTTGAGGCTGAGATGTTGAGTGTTCAGGTGTGTGATCAGGTGTGAGTTTGAGGCTGAGATGTTGAGTGTTCGGGTGTGTGATCAGGTGTGAGTTTGAGGCTGAGATGTTGAGTGTTCAGGTGTGTGATCAGGTGTGAGTTTGAGGCTGAGATGTTGAGTGTTCAGGTGTGTGATCAGGTGTGAGTTTGAGACTGAGATGTTGAGTGTTCGGGTGTGTGATCAGGTGTGAGAGTGAGGCTGAGATGTTGAGTGTTCGGGTGTGTGATCAGGTGTGAGTTTGAGGCTGAGATGTTGAGTGTTCAGGTGTGTGATCAGGTGTGAGTTTGAGGCTGAGATGTTGAGTGTTCAGGTGTGTGATCAGGTGTGAGTTTGAGGCTGAGATGTTGAGTGTTCAGGTGTGTGATCAGGTGTGAGTTTGAGGCTGAGATGTTGAGTGTTCGGGTGTGTGATCAGGTGTGAGAGTGAGACTGAGATGTTGAGTGTTCAGGTGTGTGATCAGGTGTGAGTTTGAGACTGAGATGTTGAGTGTTCAGGTGTGTGATCAGGTGTGAGTTTGAGACTGAGATGTTGAGTGTTCGGGTGTGTGATCAGGTGTGAGAGTGAGGCTGAGATGTTGAGTGTTCGGGTGTGTGATCAGGTGTGAGTTTGAGGCTGAGATGTTGAGTGTTCAGGTGTGTGATCAGGTGTGAGTTTGAGACTGAGATGTTGAGTGTTCGGGTGTGTGATCAGGTGTGAGTTTGAGGCTGAGATGTTGAGTGTTCAGGTGTGTGATCAGGTGTGAGTTTGAGGCTGAGATGTTGAGTGTTCGGGTGTGTGATCAGGTGTGAGTTTGAGACTGAGATGTTGAGTGTTCGGGTGTGTGATCAGGTGTGAGTTTGAGGCTGAGATGTTGAGTGTTCGGGTGTGTGATCAGGTGTGAGTTTGAGGCTGAGATGTTGAGTGTTCGGGTGTGTGATCAGGTGTGAGTTTGAGGCTGAGATGTTGAGTGTTCAGGTGTGTGATCAGGTGTGAGTTTGAGGCTGAGATGTTGAGTGTTCAGGTGTGTGATCAGGTGTGAGTTTGAGGCTGAGATGTTGAGTGTTCAGGTGTGTGATCAGGTGTGAGTTTGAGGCTGAGATGTTGAGTGTTCGGGTGTGTTATCAGGTGTGAGTTTGAGGCTGAGATGTTGAGTGTTCAGGTGTGTGATCAGGTGTGAGTTTGAGACTGAGATGTTGAGTGTTCAGGTGTGTGATCAGGTGTGAGTTTGAGGCTGAGATGTTGAGTGTTCAGGTGTGTGATCAGGTGTGAGTTTGAGACTGAGATGTTGAGTGTTCAGGTGTGTGATCAGGTGTGAGTTTGAGACTGAGATGTTGAGTGTTCAGGTGTGTGATCAGGTGTGAGTTTGAGACTGAGATGTTGAGTGTTCAGGTGTGTGATCAGGTGTGAGTTTGAGACTGAGATGTTGAGTGTTCGGGTGTGTGATCAGGTGTGAGTTTGAGGCTGAGATGTTGAGTGTTCAGGTGTGTGATCAGGTGTGAGTTTGAGGCTGAGATGTTGACTGTTCGGGTGTGTGATCAGGTGTGAGTTTGAGGCTGAGATGTTGAGTGTTCAGGTGTGTGATCAGGTGTGAGTTTGAGACTGAGATGTTGAGTGTTCGGGTGTGTGATCAGGTGTGAGTTTGAGGCTGAGATGTTGAGTGTTCAGGTGTGTGATCAGGTGTGAGTTTGAGGCTGAGATGTTGAGTGTTCGGGTGTGTGATCAGGTGTGAGTTTGAGACTGAGATGTTGAGTTTTCAGGTGTGTGATCAGGTGTGAGTTTGAGACTGAGATGTTGAGTGTTCAGGTGTGTGATCAGGTGTGAGTTTGAGACTGAGATGTTGAGTGTTCAGGTGTGTGATCAGGTGTGAGTTTGAGACTGAGATGTTGAGTGTTCGGGTGTGTGATCAGGTGTGAGTTTGAGGCTGAGATGTTGAGTGTTCAGGTGTGTGATCAGGTGTGAGTTTGAGACTGAGATGTTGAGTGTTCGGGTGTGTGATCAGGTGTGAGTTTGAGACTGAGATGTTGAGTGTTCGGGTGTGTGATCAGGTGTGAGTTTGAGGCTGAGATGTTGAGTGTTCGGGTGTGTGATCAGGTGTGAGTTTGAGGCTGAGATGTTGAGTGTTCGGGTGTGTGATCAGGTGTGAGTTTGAGACTGAGATGTTGAGTGTTCGGGTGTGTGATCAGGTGTGAGTTTGAGACTGAGATGTTGAGTGTTCAGGTGTGTGATCAGGTGTGAGTTTGAGGCTGAGATGTTGAGTGTTCAGGTGTGTGATCAGGTGTGAGTTTGAGGCTGAGATGTTGAGTGTTCGGGTGTGTGATCAGGTGTGAGTTTGAGACTGAGATGTTGAGTGTTCGGGTGTGTGATCAGGTGTGAGTTTGAGACTGAGATGTTGAGTGTTCGGGTGTGTGATCAGGTGTGAGTTTGAGACTGAGATGTTGAGTGTTCGGGTGTGTGATCAGGTGTGAGTTTGAGGCTGAGATGTTGAGTGTTCGGGTGTGTGATCAGGTGTTGCAGCATCCGACAGACGGCGGGCAGATTCTGGCTCTCCACATGAAGGAGGCGCCGGCTCGCGTGGCGGAGATCAGTGTGTTCTCACTGTCCAGTCAACCCATCGACCACGAGTACGGCAGCGCTCAGACGCGAGCCAAGACCAAAGCCTCCGGTACACACACAAACACACACACACACACACACACACTGATATCTGTTCAGTTGAGCTCCTTCTTTCAGGTTTATTTGATGGTGGAACATCATGATCGTTAGCAGATAAACCGTGATTATCGGGATGATTTGAATGTGGACATGAAGCCTGAGATGTGCTGATCTGTTCATCTGGCATTACACTATTAATAACACACAACGTCAGATGTCCAGATCAGAACACGATCATCACTGAAAGATGCCGAGAGGAGGATCGAGTTACAGGTGTGCTCGTGTGTGACCTCTGACCTATGGGTGTGTGTGTGTGTGTGTGTTTCTCAGACCGTTCTCCTGATATGGATAATTACTCGGAGGATGATGATGACAGTTACTCATCAGGGCAGGAGGGCAGTGATGATGCTGTGAACGGACAGGTGAGACGTGTCATTGAGTCACTCACTCTTGATGGATCATTGTGATGAGGTCTAATCACGTCACGTCATCAGCGTTGTGTCAT